AAAAAAAAAAACATTTGTTTCAAACAATTTCATCTAATTATTCAGGCCCATTAATTTCTCTAAAGCCCATAAAGCTTTTTAGTTTTCTCCTTCCTCCTTTCTTCGTCAGCTCCAAATTTGATCTCCGAAACCCCATTTTTATGGCTCCTTCCGACTTCTGATCACACCTACAACACTACCCACTAAGAAATAACTTCTCGGGGTATCAACTTTCATTTCCAGATCCTTAAAAAAATCCGTCACGAGATCAAAGTCACAGATCTCTCAACAAAATCCACCGCTCTTCAAAAACTCACTTACCTCGCTGCACTTCACAGCGTCGACATGTCATGGGCAGCTTTTCACGCCATCGAGGTTGTATCCTCTTCGCGATTCCAACACAAAAAGAAAGAAGAGGATTCGAGAGAGAACTTTCAGTGAAAACAAAAAAATCGGTCCACTAAGATGTTGACATTGTCTCGATGAACCGTTTCAGTGAGCTCTCTCCATTGAGACGTCTCACACGATTATCTCTTCAATAATTAATTTTTAATCACTTTTTTTCAACGATACCTTTAAAATATCATGAATAATGATGTTCTAACACCCATAGAAAAGATCTTCTAATCTCTTTTAGAATCTCAATCCTCTTGCTAGTTTGTAGGACAAAGTGTATATTCTGAAAAACATACTCATGGTCAGTGGCGGCAGAAATAAATTTTACCAAACTCAATAATAAAGTTTAAATATATAAAAATGTATTATAGTTGATTAAATCGTATATAAATCTTATATAGTTTTTTTTTTCTATATGTCATATAATCTTATTATATTGTTGTCTATAAAAGAAATTATGATAAAAAGAAAAAAATCTCATATTTTGAGAAAAAACCGTAAATTTATGTTTTTAAAGAGCAGTAGTTTAACAATTAGAGTTAAAAAACAGAAATGTTGCAACACTTGAAAATAAATGTGAATGAACTGGGGCATCGTACCCTTAATGACTGACATTAGAGGACTCCTACATGAATCCATGGACTTTCAGTTGGCATACAGACCTAGAGGT